AAGTTGCAGCCCCTGTACGCCGCGGCACCGTTCATCTGCCACACGTCGTGCTTGCCCATCCACTTGAACACTGCCATGGGGTGCCCGGGACAGCAGGGGATATGGGCGAGCAGACATGAGCTTCCAGAGAAAATGGTGGTAAGCATGAGGAATGTGCACACGGCACAATGAACCCCACTCGCTTATCACGGTTTCCGCAAGCGGCCTACCGATGCAACTTGTGCTTGAAGCAGTGCACCAGTGGTGATACCACTGGCGATCGTTTTAGAGACCAAACAACCACCTTAGAAGGTGTGCGCGCGGATTACATTCACGAGCAAGGGCAGCATAGGGAGGAACCGTGAGAGGGAAGCACTAGGGTGGTGGCGCATGTGAGGGGCACGCACGCACCGAGCACGTCGCCTGCTTTCGCAGGCGGGTTGGGCTTCCAGCTGCTGACCTGGAACGTCCATCCGCTGGTGCCGCCCACCGCTATGTCCCGGGCCTACGCGAATGGGGTGCAGTGCAGTGGTGGGTGGGTGGAGGGAGTGAGAAGGGGTTTGGGAATGAGTGGGATGAGGAGGACTAGGATTGAGGAGGAGAATGGCAGAAAAACAACCGCGACGGTATTGAATATTGGCACGTGCAGAGTAACGGCAGGGAAGAGCGGGAGAAGACGGGAGTGGGAGAAGCAGGGAGAGCGGGAGAAGCAGGGAGAGAGCGGGAGAATCAGGAGAGCGGAGAGGGCAAGAAAGCGCAGCAAGCGATAGGTAGCGGGTACATCAATGATTGGGTGAGGTCGGGAGGGCGGGAAAGGGAGACTCTCCCTCGGAGGCGTACCTCAGCGTGGGTTGCGGCTGAGGAGCAAACGACCGCACACCGTGCACGGCGAGGCAGGGGGGAGGGGAGGCAGCGGGTAGGAGAGGCAGGAAGGAAAATCAGGGGAAGTGAGGGAGGAGGGACGATGATGCAATGCGAATAATCTAGCGTGAATGTCAGTCGGAATAGGTAGTCAACCGACACCGAGCTTGCTTTGATATCAAATTGAGCTCGCGCTGCGTCGCCAAGGTTCTATCAGACTCAGACCGACAAAATTGGCCCGAATTCTGTTAAATTGAACTAATATTAAACAAAAACGGAACGAAAAGGAACATACAGCGAGCCATGGCGTCAAAACTGGTCGACACAAGGGCGTAACGAAAGGTCTCGAAGACGAACAGGCAGCATGTAATAAACGAGCACCGGGAGCGAGGGAGAGGGGCGTACCGAGCAGGACGAGCAGGCCAGCGGCGACGAGCGCGATTGCGGAGAGCGAGCGAGGCATGGCGACGACGGACCGCGCGCAACGAGACGTTGAGCTTCAGACGCGCTGAGGCTTGAATGGAGCTCGGCGATTCGACGTTGCAGCGACCGCGAGGCCTAGGCTCGGAGTCGTTGCTGACGGACGCAAGTTGAAGTGGTGGGAAGGTAGTGAGGTGCGCGGACTGGACACATGGATGGGGAGGAGACGAGCGGGTTCATATACTAATACTCCGTCATCGTTATGTCGGGTGCTGCTGGTGCCACCTGCCGGGAACTTGGAAGGGGAGAGCGCGGAGCAGACAGGCGCGGGTTTCGGAGCTGGCGGACGGAAATTACTGGAGAGTGACGTGACGAGGCGATGAGATGACGGCGCGGAAGATGTAGAGTGCATTGCACTGCACTGCACGGCTCCCCCTCCCCATCCTCCCCCTCCCCTTTCATGGCAATTTCAAAACCCCAACCGTGCGCGGAGGCTCCCACCGTCCTCGTTCCATTCGCGGGTCCGTGCCGTGGGCCTGTTCTTCATTGCGCAGCGCGCGCAACAGAGGCGGGCACAGCAACCTGCCCAGATCTGTCGGGTCCATGTTGCGCAACTGGTGGGTTGCGGACCGCACGCGCAACTTGAATCTAAACGAATTGACGGCGGCGGCAAGGGCTCAGGGAATGTCATGGTGTTCTAATCTGGCCAGGGGATTAGCCGGCCCGTTCGGCCGTCAACTGACCTCGGGCAGGAAAACTTAAAACCAGGATTTAGTCAACCCTAAACACCCTAGCGATTGCTTCTATTGAATCCGTCGAGTGAATGATTGGCTGAAAACACAAAGCCGACCTCAGTTCTCGCAGAGGGAAATAAAATACACCTTACTATTAAATTCGGCAATGCATGACGAAATGGCGACTCTACGGGCATCTTGCAGTGGCAGGGCGAACCTAGATCAAGACTCCGATCTGGCAGAGTCTAGTGGTGCCCTGGTGTTGCCGACCACCTGGCCTGCCTGACCTGACGCAAATTCCGTCAGAAAGTAACTTCATCCGTCAGGAGCTTTCGGCGTGACCGGCGGCTACACTGCTTTGGTTTTTGGGTTGCGTAGCAACCTTATACATTCGTTTTCACTTTTCGGTTGACTGACGTGAACAGTGTATTTTCCTTAAAAAAAAAATCACTGTTCACATTAGTTACCCGAAAAATGGAAACAAATGTGTCCAATCATTCCATCATCGTCGATAAGTACGGCGAATGGAACAATTGGACAATCACTCACTACGCACTAATAACAGAACGATTAGAACGCGTAGGCAAACTCCCGCTCGTACCAAGTAGAACAAAAAAAAAAAAAAAAAAACAATATGTGAATCTTTTGAAATGAATACTAGATGCATTCATGTTGCAACAGGGATTGATATGGTACGGAAGAGGCGAGTGAAACTGCCCCACCGACGATCACAACCCACGTTGCATACACAAGGCACTTAGCACACACCCCAAAACAGACACAAACGACAGCACACTAACTTGTACAGAGACAAGGGACAATAGTTGTGAATGCTTCGAAGCTAATGCTAAAATGCATCGTGGATACAACTGCGATTGATCTGGTATGGAAGAGGCAAGCAAAGCTGCCCACCAACGATCACAACCCCAATTGCATAAACGAGGCACTTGGCACTCACCCCGAAGCAGACACAAACAACACTACAGTCATGTACGCACATTCACATACACGCTCACACATACGCAGACAGAAAAAAAACAAAAAATAACGCAGAAACATACATCTACTAAGCATGCAAGCATAGCCAATGAAGTTCACCAATTAATAAATCATCGTTACCTTGTCCCCCATTCCCCTCCCTTTCCCCCTCCCTCATCTCCCTTCCCCCCCTTCCCCCCCCCCCCCCCCCCAGCCCCTTTCTTTCTCCACAAGAAACAATGATTGCAGCTTGAAATTCCTGCACAGGAAAGGAAAAAACAGCAAATGCAGCTCACTCCCTGCACACAGTGACACACGAGCAAACGAGCTCAAAGCCAAAAGAGAGAAGCCAACACACACACGCCCTGCACAAAGCCAAAAGAGAGAAGCCAACACACACACGCCCTGCACAAAGCCAAAAGAGAAGCCAACACACACACGCCCTGCACAAAGCCAAAAGAGAGAAGCCAACACACACACACGCCCTGCACACAGCAAAATCAGGGACGTCAACACACACACGCCCTGCACACAGCAAAATCAGGGACGTCAACACACACACGCCCTGCATACAGCAAAATCAGAGACATCAACACACACACGCCCTGCACACACCAAAATCAAGGACGTCAACACACACACGCCCTGCACACAGCAAAACAGAGAAGCCAACACCTTAGAAGCCGGCACCCTAAGCACTAGTGCAAAAAGCGACAACCGTTTGCATGAGTAGCCCCAGTTGCCCAAGCACCAGCAGAATAGATGCTAGTGCATATGCCCCAGCGTGCTCATGAGGCTCACTCACGCGCTCTTTCACGCGCTCTCTCATGCGCCCTCTCATGCTCTCTCTTACGTGCTCCCTTACTCGCTCTCTCTCGCGCTCACGCGCTCTCTCACGCGCTCACACAAGCGCCCTCTCACGCGCTCTCTCACGCGCTCTCTCACGCGCACTCTCACGCGTCCTCTCACGCGCTCCCTCACGCGCTCCCTCACGCGCTCTCTCTCGCGCCACGCTCTCTCTCACACCCTCTCTCACGCGCACCCTCACGCGCTCTCTCACGCGCTCTCTCATGCGCCCTCTCATGCTCTCTCTCACGCGCTCCCTTACGCGCTCTCTCCGCGCTCTCTCACGCGCTCTCTCACGCGCTCTCTCACGCGCACTCTCACGCGCACTCTCAATGCACTCTCACGCGCACTCTCAAGCGCACCCTCACGCGCTCTCTCACGCGCTCTCTCACGTGCACCCTCACGCGCTCTCTCACGCGCTCTCTCACGCGCACGCGGACTCTCACGCGCTCTCTCACGCGCACTCTCACGAGCACTCTCACGCGCACTCTCACGCGCACTCTCACGCGCTCTCTCACGCGCTTTCTCACGCGCACTCTCACGCGTCCTCTCACGCGCTCCCTCACGCGCTCCCTCACACGCTCTCTCTCGCGCACTCCCACGCGCACTCTCAATGCACTCTCACGCGCACTCTCAAGCGCACCCTCACGCGCTCTCTCACGCGCTTTCTCACGCGCACCCTCACGCGCTCTCTCAAGCGCACCCGCACGCGCTCTCTCACGCGCACGCGGACTCTCACGCGCTCTCTCACGCGCACTCTCACAAGCACTCTCACAAGCACTCTCACGCGCACTTTCACAAGCACTCTCACGCGCACTTTCCTGCGTGTTCGCTCCTGCGCACACGCTCTCTCTCGCGCTCACGCGCTCTCTCACGCGCCCTCTCACGCGCTTTCTCACGCGCACTCTCACGCGTCCTCTCACGCGCTCCCTCACGCGCTCCCTCACGCGCTCTCTCTCGCGCCACGCTCTCTCTCACACCCTCTCTCATGCGCACCCTCACGCGCTCTCTCACGCGCTCTCTCATGCGCCCTCTCAAGCTCTCTCTCACGCGCTCTCTCACGCGCTCTCTCACGCGCTCTCTCAATGCACTCTCACGCGCACTCTCAAGCGCACCCTCACGCGCTCTCTCACGCGCTCTCTCACGCGCACCCTCACCTCACGCGCTCTCTCACGCGCACCCTCACCTCACGCGCTCTCTCACGCGCACGCGAGCTCTCACGCGCTCTCTCACGCGCACTCTCACGAGCACTCTCACGCGCACCCTCACGCGCACTCTCACGCGCACCCTCACGCGCACACTCACGCGCACTCTCACGAGCACCCTCACGCGCACTCTCACGCGCACTCTCACGCGCACTCTCACGCGCACTCTCACGCGCACTCTCACGAGCACTCTCACGCGCACGCGGACTCTCACGCGCTCTCTCACGCGCACTCTCACGAGCACTCTCACGCGCACTCTCACGCGCACTCTCACGCGCACTCTCACGAGCACCCTCACGCGCACTCTCACGCGCACTCTCACGCGCACTCTCACGCGCACTCTCACGAGCACTCTCACGCGCACTTTCCTGCGCGTTCGCTCCCGCGCACACGCTCTCCCTCGCGCTCTGTCTCTCCCTTCTTCAAATGAAATTGCAATGCAAGAGGAGACCAATCGACAGATAAAATGTACGCAGAGAGCAAAAAAAAAGGGGGGGGGGGGGGATATCTCAGAAGGGAAAGGGAGGATGAAAGGACCGGGAACGCACCTGATAATCACGGTGCCTCAGAAAACAACTCGCGCTCGCGCACTGACCCGCGTTCGCGAACCAACTTCCGCTTGCGCTCGTGCACTTGTCGCCGGAGGCGACGGCGGGGAGGGAAGGAGAGGCGACGGCGGGGAGGGAAGGAGAGGCGACGGCGGGGAGGGAAGGAGAGGCGACGGCGGGGAGGGAAGGACAGGCGACGGCGGGGAGGGAAGGAGAGGCGACGGCGGGGAGGGAAGGAGAGGCGACGGCGGGGAGGGAAGGAGAGGCGGCGGCGGGGAGGGAAGGAGAGGCGACGGCGGGGAGGGAAGGAGAGGCGACGGGGGGGAGGGAAGGAGAGGCGACGGCGGGGAGGGAAGGACAGGCGACGGCGGGGAGGGAAGGAGAGGCGACGGCGGGGAGGGAAGGAGAGGCGACGGCGGGGAGGGAAGGAGAGGCGGCGGCGGGGAGGGAAGAAGAGGCGGCGGCGGGGAGGGAAGGACAGGCGACGGCGGGGAGGGAAGGAGAGGCGACGGCGGGGAGGGAAGGAGAGGCGACGGCGGGGAGGGAAGGACAGGCGACGGCGAGGAGGGAAGGAGAGGCGACGGCGAGGAGGGAAGGAGAGGCGACGGCGGGGAGAAGGGAGAGGCGGCGGCGGGATGGGAGAAGAGGCGGCAGCGGGATGGGAGGTAGTGGAGATGGCGGGAAGGGAGGGAGTGGCGATGGCGGGGAGTGAGGGAGAGGCGACAGGGAGGTGGGAGTGAGAGGCGACGACGGGGTGAGAGGTAGCGGCGGGATGGGAGGGAATGGCGATGGCGGGGTAGGAGGGAGGGGCGACTACGGGATAAGAGGGAGAGGCGACGGCTTGGTGTTAGTAAAACCCGATAGCTGGGTTGAGAGAATGGCAGAGAGAGCAGGTAGAGGAGGAATTCGAGTAACCAAGAGTATGAATGAGTTCGAATCGACAGCTGGGAAGGGAAACGGAACAAGAATGCGGGGAATTCGGGTTGATAGCGGAAGGATCTGTGGCGCTGGCAAGAAAATGTAATTGGGAGTGTGTGGCGCTGGCACGAAAATTTTCTCCCAGAGCAAAACGAGGCAAGAAACGATTTTGAAATTAGCATACAGTGTTATGATGATGTGGCGAATTGCGAGCTAAATTCGAGGGCGAGTTCCAAGCTAAATATGTGAGCGGGAGGGAGGGTGTAGGGACGATGAGGCGAATTTCACGCTAATTCGAGGGCGAATTGAAACTGGAACATGGCGCATGACAACCCAAAAAACAATCGAACACACTATTCTGGAACTACAGTAAAATCACGTGACAACACACGCATAACCACTTCCATCCACCTATCTGACACACCAGAGTTGGCAGCTTTTTAACAAACCCACTAAGGGTACTGTTATATTGCAAAAATCTGTTGTAGGTACTTCTATTATAATAACGAATAGAATATCAATCTAGATCGTTCCCCGCTGACTATAACTCAATCGGAAGAAAAAAACATGTTAATCTTATTTTTTAATGAGGAACGAAGAAGCCCTCTATATTGAGAAATAACATAGTTTATCGTTTGTTAAATAACATAGTGCATTTTTGTACTAAAATAATAATGCCTACGCAACCCTTCCGACGTTAACGTCGAATCTTGTCTTATTTCCACATGCAAGACAATTGATGTTAGCAAGAGCTAAGACAATTGAGAGTAACAACTCAGCAAATCAAATACCAGACCATGCCTTCTCATTATAACCACAACGCAATACAACAGTGTTTTACATATAAGGGTTTCTGAACGTATTCAGGAGGTGGGGAATATCGTAAGCGAGCATCCTGTCCACCTCTTCCACAAGCTTCACATTGAGACGCTCAAAGCTCTCAAACGCACACCCGGCTAGTGCGCGCTGAAAGAGCGCCACGGGTGGGAGGTCGCCCTCTGCCAGGCGATGCTCCCGAGCCACCTGGAGAGCAACAAGAAAGGGAAAGAGAGGGGAGAAAGGGGGGGGGGGGGGGGGGGCATAGAAAAAGGGGTGGAGGTGGAGGGAAAAAATGACATTAATGATGGGAGGCTCAGGGGCAGGAGCAGGCCAAGGCTATCTAACCTACTGCCCTGGTGATGTGCACTGTGCTGGGTTGAGTAATTTAAGACACTGAAGTGGAACCTTCCAACCACGAGAAGCAGGTCGTCAATAGCAGTTGGTTCTCCCGTTGGGGTGAAACGCCGTGGGTGCAACGAGGGTTGCACGAGTTCGACGCACATGAATGAACCTCTGCTGCTCCTTGGTGATTTTTAGAGCTCTCTGAAACACGGCAGCTGCAGCCCCTGCACGTCCCTTCCCCATCCCCTCCCCTCCTTCCCCCATCCCCTCCCCTCCTCCCCCATCCCCTCCCCTCCTTCCCCCATCCCCTCCCCTCCTTCCCCCATCCCCTCCCCTCCTTCCCCCATCCCCTCCCCTCCTCCCCCCATCCCCCATCGTCCCCTCACCTTCTCAAACTCCTGTGGCAGGTTCTCAATGAGGCGCTGCTGCGCCTTGGCGCGGCCAAAGAGGGGCAGCTGCGCGCGGAGGTGGGCGATGATGAACGCGTTCACCCTCGCTGCCCTCGCCCTCTTCACAAACTCGTTGATCTGCACACCCAGGGGCGAGAGGTCGGATGGGGGATGGGGGATGGGGGAAGGGGGAAAGGCAAGGGCCAATGGGAAATGGGGATATGGGGAAGAGTCAAGGGGTAAGGGGCGAGAGGCAAGAGGAAATGGGGAATGGGCAAGGGTCAAGGGGCGAGGGAAGTGGGGCGCGTTGTTCGTATGTTTTGGATGGGAAGTGGATGCATCCACTCCTGCTCCCATCCTGGACGGTATGTTTCACCTGGCGCTCTCCCTCCCCCATATCTCCCCTCGTCTCCCCTCGGCATAAATAGCTTAAATCCCAGTCCTCTCATCCCACCCCCGCACGACTCCTCACCTTGCGGTCGCAGCTCTTCCTGGGCAGGTCACCCAGGTCACACAGCAGGTCACAGAGCGAACATCCCACCCCCCCAGACTCCCTGCCCCCTTTTCTCCCCCCTCCCCCCTCCTCCCGCCCACCGCCCCTCGTCCTTCCCTCCTCACCTTGCGGTCGCAGCTCTTCCTGGGCAGGTCACCCAGGTCACACAGCAGGTCACAGAGCGAACATCCCACCCCCCCAGACTCCCTGCCCCCTTTTCTCCCCCCTCCCCCCTCCTCCCGCCCACCGCCCCTCGTCCTTCCCTCCTCACCTTGCGGTCGCAGCTCTTCCTGGGCAGGTCACCCAGGTCACACAGCAGGTCACAGAGCGAACATCCCACCCCCCCCAGACTCCCTGCCCCCTTTTCTCCCCCCTCCCCCCTCCTCCCGCCCACCGCCCCTCGTCCTTCCCTCCTCACCTTGCGGTCGCAGCTCTTCCTGGGCAGGTCACCCAGGTCACACAGCAGGTCACAGAGCGAACATCCCAACCCCCCAGACTCCCTGCCCCCTTTTCTCCCCCCTCCCCCCTCCTCCCGCCCACCGCCCCTCGTCCTTCCTTCCTCACCTTGCGGTCGCAGCTCTTCCGGGGCAGGTCACCCAGGTCACACAGCAGGTCATTCATCTCTCGCTCAAACAGCGCGCGCCCCAGCCGCCCCTCCGTGTCCTCCTCCTCCTCTTCCTCCTCCTCTTCCACTTCCTCCTCATCGATTTGATTCTGTGCCTGCTCATAATTCCCGCTTCCAATTCCAGCCTTCACCTCGCCATGGCACATAGGCGCCACGTTCTCCTTGTCTCGGCTGGTTTCCAGCTCGGCTCTTCTGCGCCCCTCTGCTGCATTGCCGCACTCCTCTTTTCCCTCCTCTTTGCTCTTCTCTCCAACCTCCTCTCCGCTCTCCCCATTTCCCTTCTCAAGACCTGCACCGTTCGCACTCTCTTCTCCCACTGTTGCACACTCGTTCCTCGCATCCTTCTCACTCTCTGCTTCCTTGATTCCCGTCTCCTCCTTTTCCTTGTCTGGGATATCCTTTGTCTCCTTCGCCTCCTTGCATGCTGCTGACTCGCCTCTGATGGTCGTCTGCTGCGTTGCTGACCGCAGCTGAAGCGCTTTCTTGCGTGGTTTCTGGGCAGGAAGCTTCTTCTTGCCAGGAAGCTTCTTTGCAGGAAGCTTCTTCTTGCCAGGAGCTGTGTCCGAGAAAGATCTGATGAGGGTGAGGAGGAGAGGAGGAGGTGAAGAGGGGAGGAGGGTGAGGGGAGGAGGATGCGGGGGAAAGGGTGAGCAAGGGAGCAGATAAAGTTGCGTAGTGCACTGAAGTGCACGCTACAGTGCTGCCATACTGACTCTCTGTGTGGCAGCACAGTGGCAAGGACTCACCCGATAGACTCACACACACCAATCTAGAGGCGCCTCAAAAGCTGCTTCAGCAACCGTGGCACAATGGCAAGGGCCACTCTATAAGCACACAAGCACGCATGCACGCATGCACGCATGCACGCATGCACGCATGCACGCATGCACGCATGCACACATGCACGCATGCAGGTGTGTGTGTTGCATGGGTGCACCGTGGCACCGACTCTCAACGCCTACACGCACGTCCTTCTCAGCCACTCACCCAACGAACCAACTCACCCGATATACACGCGCATGACTTCAGGCGTGTTGATGACCTTCCCCAGGGACCACATGAGCGCCCCGTACACTCGCATGAGCTACGGGGGTGGGGGGGGTGGGGATAGGGGAGGAGAGGATAGGAGCGAGAGCGCATGAGGTGAGAGTGCGGGATGCAATGAGAGAAGCAGGGTGAAGCGCACAGGAGGCGTGATGATGACCTTCCCCAGTGACCACATGAGCGCACCATACACTCGCATGAGCTGCAAAATTGGGTGGGGAAGGAGAGGAGAGGGGCAAGGGCGAATAAGCTGAGAGTGTGGGGTGCGAGGAGCGAAGCAGTGGCAAGCGCACAGGAGGAGGCATGTTGATAACCTTCCCCAGTGACCACATGAGTGCACCGTACACTCACATGAGATGCGGGGGGTGGTGGGAGGGGAGAGAGGAGAGAGGAGAGGAGAGGCGAACAGCGTGTGGGTTGTGATGATTCACTCTCTATCAACCATTGACTACATGAATGCACCGTACACACGCATGAGGTGAGGGGGTGGGGGGAGGAGAGGAGAAGCGAGAAACACAGGAGCGGGCATGAGCGCAACAGGCATGCGCTGTGCGCACATTCAAGCCTTTGCTGCGTGTTGACCTGGTCAACGCGTCTCACCTGCTGCGTGTTGACCTGGTCAACGCGTCTCACCTGCTGCGTGTTGACCTGGTCAACGCGTCTCACCTGCTGCGTGTTGACCTGGTCAACGCGTCTCACCTGCTGTGTGTTGACCTGGTCCGCCTTGTTGAGCACGAGGCGGATCTTATCCTTGTTGCCATGCAGCGACGTGATCACGCGCTTGAACTCGTCGCTCACGTCCAGCTTGTGGGGGTCGAAGAGCAGCAGGATGAGATCGCACTTGGACGCGAACCACTGCAGGGAGGGAAGGGGGAGAGGAAGGGGATGGGAAGAGGAGCTTGCACGGCTTGCGTGCCAAAGAGCAGTGCGTGAACCATTGGGGGAGGGGCGGGGCACATGGAGACGAGGTCGTGGCTGCTCAGAGTCCTCTACCTGAGGAGGAGCAGTGCACCTCCTCTGAGCTGCTCACCTCCTCCAGGCTTCACAAGACAACCTCCTCAATACACAATGGGGGATGAACATCATTGTGGAGATTGGATGCTCATGCTTCTCTCTCCATCCCTGAAATCCAGTCTCGGACACCCATAGGTTTCTCCCTCACTCACCTCACCCTCACCCCGCCCTCACTCACCCCCCTCACCCTCCTACCCCCCTCCCCCCTCCCTCACCTCGGTGACCCCAGTGAAGTCGTAGCTGCGTTGGGTGCGCTGCTTCTCCCCCGCCAGCACTCCCGGCGTGTCCACCAGGCATATGTGGTCCAGCAGGGGGTGGGGCAGCTGGTGGGGAGAGGGGGAGATCAGGGGGGTGCAATGGAGGGGAGCAGAATAACGGTAAGGTATTGCCAGCATGACCGGTGTGTCCACGAGGCAAATGTGGTCCAGCAGGTAATGGGGCAGCTGGAGAGGGGATAGAAAGGGGTAGGGGGATTGAATGAAATGGTGGTGTAGCAGTAAGATAGTGCCAGCACGCCTGGTGGTCCAGCAAGGGGTGGGGTAGCTGGAGAGAGGGAGAGGGGGGGGGGGGTGGGGAAGAAAAGGGGCGAGTATGGGAGTGCTGAGCGGTTTTTTCTTTTGCCCGGTGTGTTCACAAAGCATATGTAGTCCCGAAGTGGGTGGGGCAGCTGGTGAGGGTTGGGGAGGAGGGGAGAAGGGGAGACGGAAAAGAAGGGTTGAACGGCAGAGAATTAAAGGTATTGCAGTCTTAGTGTGTCGACCTAGCAGATGTGGTAATGGAGAAGGTGGGGTAGCTGGAGAGGGGAGGGGAGGGGAGGAGGAGGGAGGAGGGGGAGTTAGCAGTAATGATGCATCACTGGCAGGACTCACAAGGTGCAGAACGAGCAATAGAGGAGGGAGGGGGTGGTATGAGGAGGAGAGGGGGCAGTTAGGGCTGCAGTTACCGACAGGCAGGGCAGCTCTTGAGACGTTTCAGAAGCAGGTAATCCAGTGCGCACCGCGCCTCACCTGTGCCACCTCGAGCTTCTCGAGGAAGGCGGAGCCAAAGCGGGTGAGACCGGCGAAGGGCATGTCGGCACTCACTGCCACCGTGTTGCCCGGTATGCTGCGATCATCAGGGCCGTTCTGGTGTGGGAGGAGTGGGGGTATAAGAATGCAAAGGAAGAAAGGTGGAGCAGGTGTGGATTTAGTTGACTGGAGGAGCGGCGGGCATGTCTGCACTGACTGCCACCGTGTTGCCGGGTATGCTGCGATCGTCTGGGCAGTTCTGATGGGTGGGAGGAGGGAGGTGATGGAAAGGGATTGATCACGTGAGAGAGATCGTGTTAGAGTGCAACATCTGGCATGGGGTGTGGAGAGGGACGAAAAGAGGAGAGGAGAGAGTAGGAATGTAGGAGTAGAGACGACAATAGTGCCTAGGAGGTGAGATGGAGAGAGGAGGTGGGGGGAGAAGAGAGGAGTGGTGTGGAGAGGTGGGGGGAGAAGAGAGGAGTGGTGTGGAGGGGGAGGAGGGGAGGAGGACGCACCATGACGACAACAAAGCGGTCGGTGGTGGGCTCGGGTCCGATGTGCGACCCTGCAGATAGAGGCGAGGGTGAGGTGAGGAGGGTCAGTGGAAGTCAATGGAGGACGACAGGGGTCAACGGAGGTGCTGCAGTGGACTGGAGTAGGGGGTAGGCTGGAGATAAGGGCACGCGGAACTGACAGAGGAGGGGGAAGAGAGAGAAGTAGCATGGCTAGGTGCGGCTTACCAGGGTAGGGGCGGCTGAGAAGGTGGCGGATGAAGGTGGTCTTGCCCGTGCTGTACTGCAGTGGGGGATGGGTGGAGAGAGTAGGGGCGGCAGGGAGTAGGGCATAAGAATGGAATCAGGCTGGATCGGATGGGCGTGGAACGAGGGCGCATGGGACTAAAGAATGCTTGTGAAGATATGCAGAGACACGCAAAATGTGAGATATTGTACATGTTCTTGTGGGATTTTATCAAATGCGTACTCTCTTATCTCTGTCGACTTGGGCCAGTCGTACGTTCTCACCTGCCCCAGCAGCATCACCATGGGCTTGGCCTCAAAGTCGCTCCCCGTCTGAAGGCGCATGGGGGACACGTGCGGGGAGAAGGGGCAGGGGGGAGAGCGGGATGGGATGGAGTGGTGCAGCACGGCTAAGAACGGCGGTGCAGCCATGTGGGTGGGTGCAGCCATGTGGGTGGGTGCAGCCATGTGGGTGGGTGCAGCCATGTGGGTGGGTGCAGCCATGTGGGTGGGTGCAGCCATGTGGGTGGGTGCAGCCATGTGGGTGGGCGGAAGCTGAGTGTAAGTCGGGCATTAGAGCATGGCAGCATGGCATGGCAGCATGGCATGGCAGCATGGCGTGGTGAGAAGGGCAGGAGGGAACTGTGATGACTGACGAGAGAGGGTGAGTGTAAGTCGGGCATTAGAGCATGGCAGCATGGCATGGCAGCATGGCATGGCAGCATGGCGTGGTGAGAAGGGCAGGAGGGAACTGTGATGACTGACGAGAGAGGGTGAGTGTAAGTCGGGCATTAGAGCATGGCAGCATGGCATGGCAGCATGGCATGGCAGCATGGCGTGGTGAGAAGGGCAGGAGGGAACTGTGATGACTGACGAGAGAGGGTGAGTGTAAGTCGGGCATTAGAGCATGGCAGCATGGCATGGCAGCATGGCATGGCAGCATGGCGTGGTGAGAAGGGCAGGAGGGAACTGTGATGACTGACGAGAGAGGGTGAGTGTAAGTCGGGCATTAGAGCATGGCAGCATGGCATGGCAGCATGGCATGGCAGCATGGCGTGGTGAGAAGGGCAGGAGGGAACTGTGATGACTGACGAGAGAGGGTGAGTGTAAGTCGGGCATTAGAGCATGGCAGCATGGCATGGCAGCATGGCATGGCAGCATGGCGTGGTGAGAAGGGCAGGAGGGAACTGTGATGACTGACGAGAGAGGGTGAGTGTAAGTCGGGCATTAGAGCATGGCAGCATGGCATGGCAGCATGGCATGGCAGCATGGCGTGGTGAGAAGGGCAGGAGGGAACTGTGATGACTGACGAGAGAGGGTGAGTGTAAGTCGGGCATTAGAGCATGGCAGCATGGCATGGCAGCATGGCATGGCAGCATGGCGTGGTGAGAAGGGCAGGAGGGAACTGTGATGACTGACGAGAGAGGGTGAGTGTAAGTCGGGCATTAGAGCATGGCAGCATGGCATGGCAGCATGGCATGGCAGCATGGCGTGGTGAGAAGGGCAGGAGGGAACTGTGATGACTGACGAGAGAGGGTGAGTGTAAGTCGGGCATTAGAGCATGGCAGCATGGCATGGCAGCATGGCATGGCAGCATGGCGTGGTGAGAAGGGCAGGAGGGAACTGTGATGACTGACGAGAGAGGGTGAGTGTAAGTCGGGCATTAGAGCATGGCAGCATGGCATGGCAGCATGGCATGGCAGCATGGCATGGCAGCATGGCACGGCAGCATGGCACGGCAGCATGGCACGGCAGCATGGCACAGGCAGGGCAGAAGTAGAGGAAGGGAGGGACTGACGAGGGCGGGCGAGTGGAAGTCGTGGAAGCGGTATGCCTCCTCCAGCGGCCGCAGCTTGCTGTCGTACAGCCCCCTCAGCCCGTCCACCACCGACGTTATGGCGCCCTGCGGTAGCGGCTGGTGGGGGGAGGAGTTAAGTGCAGAGGGACAAAGAAGCAGGCAAAGAGGGGAATGGGGAGAGTGAGAAGAGGGCGCAGCTTGCTCTCGTACAGCCCCCTCAGCCCGTCCACCACTGACGTTATGGCGCCCTGGGGGAGTGGCTGGTGGAGAGAGAAGAAGCAGGCAGAAAGGCGAACGGGGGGGTTACGAGAGTGAGAAGACCCCCTGTACGGGCAGCTTGCTCTCGTCTCGTACATCCCCCTCAACCTGTCCACCACCAACGTCACGACATGAGGGATGCGGCTAGGGAGGGGTGTGGTATGTATGAGAGAAAAAGGGACAGGGCCGTGGCGTACCTTCTTGGCCTTGGGCTTGAACAGGGACATGAGGGATGCGGCCAGAGTGGGGTGTGGTATGTATGAGGTGACTTTTCAGTCGACTCAAAAGTCATGCGGCTAGGGAAAAAGGACAGGGCCGTGGCGTACCTTCTTGGTCTTGGGCTTGAAGAGCGACATGAGAGATGCGGCCAGAGAGGGATCCGGCTCCTCTGTTGCGATGGGGGATTGGGAATGAGAGGGGGTGGGGAGACAAGGACCGTCGGTGAGGGTGGATGGGAGAGTGAGAAGAGGGGAGATGGGGAGAGGAGAGGGTACGGAACAAGACCATCCATGCTGTCAAGAGGGAATCAAAGGAGCTCGTGCCTACCGTGCGTGTCGGACTCGATGGAGGCCGTGCAGGCGAGGATGCTGTCGGACGCCAGCGCCTCGTCCAGCCCCCTCAGCGCCGGGAAGCACGGCTGGCGCGCTGTGTGGCGGGGAGAGCATGGTGCCGGTGGGGCAGGGAAGGGAAGGGAATTGAAGGGAAGGGAAGAGGGAGGTGGGATTGAGGGCGGGAAGAGTGGCAGATGGGCGATTGGGTGTCCGTGGGGCAGCATGCAAGGAGTGAGCAGAGGAGTGTGGGGATCGGGATACTGGGGGGGAGCATGGAACTGCCAATCACTTGTCACCACTGACGTCAACGAAGGCAGCATGGAAGGCATGGAGCATGAAGCATGGAGCGTAGGCAATGCACCATGCAGCATGCACCAAGCACCGTGCATTAAGCAGCATGCAGCACGCCCCAGGGCCCACAGGGCTCCGTCTTCCCTGCGCAACAGCAAATGCTGTTGCTACACCATCCCCATGCCCCATGACCCATGACCCATGCCCCATGCCCCATGCCCCATGCATCAAGCAGCATGCACCATTCCCCAGACCCCATGCACCACGTGGCACCCATGCCCACAGCCCGGCTCACCGGGCATGTCCTCCCCGCGCGACAGCAGCTGCTGCTTGGCGATCAGCCGCATGGCCACCACGAACTCCTCCATGCCCAGATAGCCCTGCTCACAGCGGTGCACAGGGGTGCAGACGGGTGCAGAGGCCGAGGAACAGGAGGAGGGTAAGGGAGAGGGAGAGGGAGAGGAGGGTCGTTCAGTGTGCTGGCAAGCGGACGGGAAGATATATTGTCCAAGGGAGCACTTTTGGACAAGAGTTGAATGCGTTTGAAACGTCTCTAGAGCAATAGTGCAACGAGTACCGGCGGGCCAGGGGTGCGTGAGCGGAAGAGCGCGGAGCGGTGAGAAGGCGCAGGAGACGCAGGCCGGTGCTGGGAAGCAGAGGAGGCGGGTGCGGGGAGTCAGAGGAGGAGGGTGCGGGGAGTCAGAGGGGGAGGGTGCGGGGAGTCAGAGGGGGAGGGTGCGGGGAGTCAGAGGAGGAGGGTGCGGGGAGTCAGAGGGGGAGGGTGCGGGGAGTCAGAGGGGGAGGGTGCGGGGAGTCAGAGGGGGAGGGTGCGGGGAGTCAGAGGAGGAGGGTGTTGGCCCAGCCTGCTACCGACTGGGTTAAAAGGGCATGTTTGTATGGTGGGTAGCACACCCATAACCCCCCAGGCCGCGCCTGTAGCCCTCCCACACTCAACTCGGGACGATCCCAGTGCCCCACCAACAGAGGGTGCGGGGAGTCAGAGGAGGAGGGTGCGGGGAGTCAGAGGGGGAGGGTGCGGGGAGTCAGAGGGGGAGGGTGCGGGGAGTCAGAGGGGGAGGGTGCGGGGAGTCAGAGGGGGAGGGTGCGGGGAGTCAGAGGGGGAGGCGGAGTCTAACGAGGGGCAGGTGCTCTCAGTTTGCTTGCGCGCGCATGCATTCCCGCTCGTACCTGGCGACGGTCGTCCGCAGCCGCCCAGATCTGCGCTCGTGCGCGAGGCGCGGGGAAGAGTGGTCCGCGGGAGGTGTGGGGATAGGAAGACATGGTGAAGAAATAGGTATCGTGAGGCACTGGGGATGAAGGAAAGAGGAGGGGCAACGAGACAAGGAACAAGGCTCAATGTCGAATACTGGCTTTACTCGCCACGGTTTAAGCTCACAGTACCTCGTTCGGCTTGTTTCCGTTTCAACCCGTACTCATCTCAACTGAAATACTGTTTCATCTCGTACCGGTTCCGCTCGTACGGGTTTCATCGCGTACCGCTTTGAGCTCGTGCTGCATGAGGCCGGAGCGCTTGAAGAAGGGAACGGCGTCCGGACCCGTGATGCGCCCGTCGCCATCTGCACGGGCGGGCGAGAATGAGTGAACGGAGAGGAATGACTGTGAGCGGTGAACAAGACATCTATTGGTGAATGGGGAATTCAGCGCGACTAAGCCTTCGTATCATGGTTACGGCCGAGGTTCATTTTTCTTCTTCTATTTTTTGTTTTAACGAAACGTTGGAAACCCAGCGTTTCTCGAAAAAGAAATGCGGCCTTATCCGGGGTTTGTTTTCTTGAGTGCGCTTGGGAGTGATAAACAGCAAATGGCGAGGAATGGCTAGGATGCTCGAGAGGGGACAAACGGCGAAAGCACGCGGTGACAGTGGAGGTGGCTGATGAGTGGACTCGTAATGGCGAACAGCAGGCCTCTTGAGGCGCCGTCGAGGTGACGATCAAGTCGACTCGAGAAAACGAATGGGATGCTTGAGATGCTGCAGAGGGAGATGGCGACGCGAGTGAAGGCGACGCGAGTTAAGGTGACGCGAGTGAAGGCGACGCGAGTTAAGGTGACGCGAGTGAAGGTGACGCGAGTGAAGGTGACGCGAGTGAAGGAGGCGAAAGGTGACGGTGGGGCGACAGGTGGAAAATGACGTACCTGAGTCGACGAATGCGAACCAGCGACGGTAGACCTGCGAGGAGGCGATGGGAAGAACAGCAAACCAGAAAACCAATTAATACGGGAAACGAAACAGGAACAAGTGGGCATCTTCTCGACAGCCAAATTCGTTTCACTTGCGTCGTAAGTGCTGCCAGCGCTACCTTCGTCGCGAAACGCGGGGCTTCGTGTTGTGCAACTCAGCTGTTCTTTTCGCTTCAGCGACTCGTGATAAAATTTAAAAGAGCGTCTCGTTTTGAGATATTCAGTTGCACTCTCCGTTCAAGCGGCACTCACCCGCATTTCCTCCTTGCTGCACATTGCGGGCTGCGCCGCGACGAGAACGTCTCCGCTCGGCATGCTTCCTCGATTCGTTCCGAGTCTTGCGGAGCAAATGCTTCGTGGAGTGAGCAACTACTATAAAAAGCGTATGTCTTTCAAAGTATGTCTTTCAAAATCTCACTATGCGTTTCCAGGAATAAGAAAAACTATCAGGCTTCAAGATCCTTGGACTTAGGCGCAACGGTGTGAAACTATCAAGAAAGTTGAGTGCAAGAATGAAAGTCCAGCGAGCAGCCATGATATTTTAGGATGTGACAGGAGTGTCGTGGGGAGGCAGGAAGAGGCGCAGAATTGAGCTGCGGGGAAGGAGTGGTGCACAGCACACATTCGTCTTGAATTTCATGCATCACGGTTCTGTGCGATGTGCTGCGTTTCAAAACGGTAATGTCACGCCGTGTAGAAGACGTTCCGCAATGTCAAATGGCGTTGGACTGCCCGAACCAGATTCGCTAGGCATTGGTTGGAGCACGGGCAGTCAAACTGATATGAACGCGTTTCTCCGCAGCCCATTGGAGGAGGCTTGCTTTGCTGTTTAGCGCTTGTTGCGGCCTGACATTGTACGCGTCACAAGCACGGAAACGCGCATTCGCCGGACCTGAAACCCTGCCTAAGCGGTGCCCGCCGACCTGCAGCAAGTGTAGCCTACTTCTTGTCATGCAGAATGGGGTACCTTATGTATCATATTTTCCAGAGGAATATGGTGTCAGATGGATATCCAGATTACTTCAACAGGCATGAAAATATGGCAAAAACAAGCCACCTAAACCACTTTGTGTCACAACAACAATACTGCTGGATCTGACTTCCCATGGTCAATGCTTGACACGTGTTTTCCTAACACAGGTGCAAACCTGAAGACATACCGTACATGGCACCGTATAAAAATACTTCGCACAGCTCCCTCCCACCCTCTTTACCTGTTCATCCAAGTTTGCTGTTTCAAACAAAACAAAGAATTTTCAACTAAACGACTTGGTAGCTTTCCACACTCATCTGTGTTCTCCCTGCAAACTTGACTGGTTGGCCACTGCTTGCTTGAGTCACAGATACAACCTGAAATGGCCAAACAAATGAAAATAATACTTAAAAGAATGCATAACCTGATAGTCAATTGCTGTACCGGGCTCAATGGTGTGATGAGAGTAGTAGGGGGGGGCGTGGGGAAGGCTTGAAAGTGGGGGGGGACAAGGCACCGCCAAGACAGGGAAGTAGAGGGGTTGAAAAGGACATAGGCAAACAGAGGGCAGGACAGGGCAAAGCAGGCGAAAGCAGGGAGGGAAGATGTGGTGGGTAGAAAAGAAAGATCAGATTGAGAAGGAGAGAAGGAGAGGAGGGAGAGGCGGTTGGGGGGGGGAGGGGGGGTAAAGGCAGGGGTGAGGATGAAAGCGATGGAGGATGGTGGAAAAAAGGGTGTGGGGGGAGGGGGTGGGGGAGGACACTCATGAAAGAAAAACGGTGATCAACCGGGGGGGTAGCTGGGGGATGGGCGGAGCATATGACGGACCTTGACGTCGCAGAAGGTCTTGGCAGACGTGAAGCGCACTTCAATGGGGAAGAAGACGTCCGGGTTGGTGGCTGGAACCACAAACTCCATCGACCCACTGCCGTGCACGGCACGGCGTTGAAGCAGGTGGGCAGCAGGTGGGAGGGGGTGGGTAGCAGACGGGGAACAAGGTAGGAAACGAGTGAGGAACAGATGGGGAATCGGTGGGGAACAGGTGAACAGGGGCGAGGGGAGAGAACACGGGTGGTCAGCGCAATGGAACCATTGTTCTTTTACCACGAGCTGAAGATTTGTGTGCTGAAACTCAGTCCGTTCAACATGGTCTGACCGTCTCAATTTAAGCTTGTGACTGGAGATATTCCCCCCTCTCTTAATCTGGTCTAGCTGGTAGGTATTATATACTTTGAGCTGGAAGGGCGAGCCAGGTCTACCGCAACAAGACCAGTGGCTGACAACAACAGCCGGAGAATGAATCTCACTTGCGGTTGGAGTTGTCAATGAGGTCGATGCACCACTCCAGCACGGATCTCCTTGAATCATATCTGCATGCACAGGCGAGGGATTAAACAGATAATTGGATTTACAGAAGAGGCAAGGCTTCACATCACAGTGCTGGAACCAAAACCACCAAGACCGGAACCGTAAGAGCTCTGCACCGCATAGGCGTTCGCGGAGATCAAGCAGATAAGAGCCTAGTTCCCTGACCTTGGCCCTACAGCGCAAACGCTTCCAGACGGTGTAATTTTACCCAGCTCAAAGGGGGGAAAATACAAAACATAAAGAAGGAAGGGAGAAAGAAACATGGCACGTACCTGGGCTCGCCGTCGTAGTCCTTGAGCGTGGGCGCCTCACGCAGCGCCGGCAGCGGGATCTCGACCACCACGTGGCGCAGGTCGAATGCCTGCGTGGCCTCGTACTCTATGTTCACGTACGTGTCTGCTCCTGACACCGACGGCCAGCAGTTGACTGTGAGAGTGGGAGGCACAGGGGGGCAGGAAAGGATGATCACGTATTCTATGATCACGTACGTGTCTGCACCCGACACCCACGGCCAGCAGTTGACTGCGGGGGTGGGAGGAACTGGACACGGGAGGCAGGAGAGGTCAATCTGAGCGCCCTGTGTGGCATCTTACTCGATGCAAACACGTGCCCATGCCAGCAGAAGGCTGCCAGAGTTGCAGAAGTGGGGGCTACAGGAAGCGGCAAGGGTTGCACGCCGGGGCATGAGACAGGATGGAACAAGCTGAGATGTTTTATGCTCGATGATCGTGTGTGCTTTCACCCCAAACCTGACGGCCAGCAGCTGGCTCTCAAAACAGCAACCCTGTCGAATGGGGCACGAGTACAAGGTAAGGAGAGGTATGGTGAGGACTGGGTACACCGGGTTGCATGATGCACAAGTATGTGGCATGAGGAAGGGCGGAATGGCCTAAGCTCATGCACACATCCGCCCCAGACACACAGGCCCAGTGGTGGCCATAAAAATGGTTTCGTGGGGAGGAAGGCTGAGGCAGGCTATTATATGAGGCTACGGCAGGAACCGAGGGAGAATAATGGAATCACCGCACAGGAAAGGTGACCACTAAGCTACCAAAGGCGTTGCAGCAACACAAAATGACATTCTTCTCAAGCAATGTGCAAAGAAGCGCTGCCGCAGCGAGAACGAGCCAACAGAGAAAAGGGAGTGAAGCGTACTGCTGATGGGGACAACGGTCTCATCCTTGGACTGCATGCGCCACTTGAGGATGCCCAGCGGGCTGCCAGTGGGGAAGGGTCGGTTGGGGTCCTTGAGCCCCAGGATGTTCTGGCTGCCGTACAGCGCCTTGTCAATGTTCGGATGCGTCTTGAATTGGAAGCTCTTGTCATGCCCGCCCTCGATCTGCATCAGAGCCATCACCCAAGTCAGCCGGGAACGCAGAAAACAGCTGAGTGGTATCACACGAGCAGAGCCCAACAGACGCTACGCTCCACAGCTCACAATCGCTCCAAAGTCATAAGTTCCCAACATTCTCTTGCCCAGCCCGCTGTCTCACTCTGCCAAGACTGCTGCCACACTCCTGCCCACCCCGCGGCAAGCAACGCACCTGAATGCGGATGAATGCATCCTCCTCCTTGAGCACCGTGAGCGCCATGGTGCCCTGCACCTCCATGTTCACCAGCCCGTTTGACTCGACTCAACGGACACCACACTAGACACGCACGATCCACACACATGAAATGCGTGCGCGCCAACGCACCTGGATGCGGATGAATGCATCTTCTTCCTTGAGCACGGTGAGCGCCATGGTGCCCTGCACCTCCATGTTCTCCAGCCCGCCGTCGCGCTTCCACACCACCACCACCTTCTCCTCCACCAGGATCGTGATCGGGTCCGTCGCCACGAACGCCGCCTGCCCGCCACCACCGCCCGCGCCCGCCACACCCGCACCGGCAGCAGCGGACAGGAGCGAGGCGTCCTCGACGATGTTCTCGCCCTCCGCCTTGAGGGACTCGAGGAACTGGTTCGTCTTGGTGGACTTGCCCAGCTTCATGCCCATGCCCTTGGACGGCGCCGCCATGCTCCCGCCCGCCCGCCCTGTGTCGTGGTGGAGAGGGCGGGAAAAGGGTGTGGTTTGAATAAGGGGGAGGGATCTGACTGCGGACGGCGAGGATTTGTACTGAGAGAATGGCAGCGGAATGACGGGTCGCCACGTCATCGTTGCGACAATTCGGGTGTCAGTGGTTCGAGCGTCCTCGGAATCGGATGATACCAGGCTCGAACATCACCCAGAGTGCATGAACATGGTTAGAGTGCCGTTTCGACCATTAGGGTTGTGCCTGCCTAGTTCACAAGCCGTCCGCAGGGTTGTGCATGAGCATGATAGGATCGAGTATTGCCTACGCATGTATCACGGTCACATATCTCTGGGCAGGTATCGAGATTGAATATCGACTGGGCACATATCCGGATCGTGAGTCGCGTTGGCATGTGTCAGGTTCGAGTACGTACCAGGTTTGAGTATCGCCTGCTCGAATATTACTCAAGCGCGTACCAGGCTCGAGAACCGCCTAAGCACGTACTCGGTTCGAGGATCGTCTACCCACGTAACGGTTCGAGAATCGCATCGCATGCACCCAGTACGAGTATCGACTAAACACGCACCTGGTTTGCGAACTGCCTACGCACGCACCTGGTTTGCGTAACGCCTAAGCACGCACCTGGTTCTGGACCAGATGACACGGGAGCTCCAAAGCCTCCACCGCCTCCCATCCTGCCCATCTCCGGGAACCCATTGTTTATGGACATCTGACCTCCCCCGCCCGGACCCATGCTCGACAGCCCGCCTGAAATCCCCCCACGATCGACTCTCTTGTCCGCCTGCCAAAAGGCGAATCAGATAATCGAGATAAAACAAAGAGGGAGACGCAAAGACCGCCGATCGCAGGCAATCGACGGTGGTTAAGCATGACAAGCAGCACGGAGGCAGGAATCGTGGGTTAGAGATAATAAGCAGATGAGATAGCAAGCAAATGTGGTTTGATGTACCCGGAGCTTCTCGATCTCCTGCGCCTTCTTCTTCATGAGGTCCTTGGTCTCGTTGATCTTGCTCAGCATGTCCGCCTTGTACTGCTTCTCCACCGTGCTCTCCATCTCCGTGAACTGCTTCACCTGCGCTATAGTCACGTTCTCCTTGTGGCCCAGCGAAATGACCTCGTCGAACGCGAATATGAGCTCGAAGGCCATGTGACACACGGATTCCTCGTCCAATCCTGGACAGTACTCGGGTACCTGGAATGTCAGAGAGATATGGATAAAAGGGACACTCTTAGGTGCTACACGGCCAGGAGAGAGACACTCATGGATCAGATCAGGTAACGACACCAGAAACTCGGAATTTTAGATTAATACGGCATGAAGCAGAGAGCTTTGATGACTAGGGATCAACTTACAAGCTTCGATAGTAGGCGTAGAGTCTCGAGATCTTCTAAGATGTTGCTTTGCTTGTTCGTGACGAGCAGTAAATAGAGACCTTCGAGTGATTGATACACATATCGCACATTCTCGGTCTCGACGAACGTGTGCTGCTTCCCGCTTCCAATGAGTTTAGGGAAAGCTGCAAGCAACCCTTCGATGCGAATCCGAGCCATGTCTACGAATTGTCGAGCCACCAATGCTGCAGCAACCAACAAAATACCACGCGTATGAGAAAATGACGCTCGCTAATAACATTCTAAAAAATAGGTTTAGCTGGGTAGCTAATCGCTAGTGGATTTAAGGACGACAGGTAAATTGATAGTAACATGCCTTTTCCCGTCTTGCTGATGATCGCAGCTGACAGGACCACCTGCACGACAGAAACTAAGTTGTCAGTCTAAAGCGAGTGGAACAAGAAACTGCATGAACGCGTAAATTACGCCGAATCTAACGCACCATCTTGCCAAGACCAGAGATGTGAGGTCAGACGTCGAGAATCAGGATCCAAACCCTTCCTAACCAATCACACAACTAACGCAACGGAAACCGGTTAAAATCCTGAATGACGCTTCGACCTAATTAGAAACACGGAAATCGAAGACAAATCTACGCATTCCGCGATGCTAACACAAGCATAGCTAGATCAAGGATGATCCCTAGTTGTGCAGCTGATCCCGGCGAATCAGTGGGCAGTAAGACTAGGCACCGTATTCACGGACGCAGAGACAGCAAAACACCAAACACGCGCAGATCTGCGATGCTCCTTCACATTCCCTCCAGCAGGAAGGTCAGGCAAACCAGTGGGAAGCGGGAAGGCTGGCTGTTGCTTTGTCACAAGAATCTGGTTTGGCGGATGAAATCGAGGCTCGCGACACACCGTTGGGGTGGTAACACGGTTTCAGTGAAACCTGATTGAGTATATTCAGAGTGACCTCATCTAAACAAATACTGGAAAGTAAAAAACAGCTTTATATTGTTGAACAAGCTCCCATTTGCTCATTTGCTGGCTCTTGGTATTTATACAAAAATAATGTTTTTCACCGATTGTAATATCATCGCACGAGGGACATTAAGGCACAATGAATCCCATTGCCCATATGCATGCTCATTGTAAGAGTGGCACAAACTAGTAACCTACGTACGATTCCCACCCCATTGCCCATATGCTTACTCATCCTAAGAGTGGCACAAACTAAACTACATACGATTCCCACCCCTTCCCATCTTGCCTTTGCCCCCTCTACCACCCCCTCTCCCACTAGAACTCGACCTTCCTCCACCCCTTCCCCTCCCTCCACCCCTCCCTCCACTCCCTCCCCTCCCTCTGCTCCCTCCCCTTCCTCCCCTCCCTCCACTCCCACCCCTTCCTCCACCCCCTCCTCTCCCCCCAACCCCTCCTCTCCCCCCACCCCCTCCTCTCCCTCCACTCCCTCCTCTCCCCCCGCCCCCTCTAGCGATGGCAGTCTGGCGCATCTTCCGCACCTCATCCACGCTGCGCAGCTCATCCCTCACTCGCCCGCCTGCCCCTCCTCTGCCCGACATGCCTGCAGCACGGAATGGTGCGGTGACAGGGGGTGATTAGGTTTGACAGGGGTTGACAGGGGTTGACAGGGGGTGACAGGGGTTGACAGGGTGTGACAGGGGGTGACAGGGGTTGACAGGGGGTGACAGGGGGTGACAGGGTGTGACAGGGTAAGGAAGGATCCTTGGTTTCGAACATCAGTCGGTGACAAGGGGAGAGAAGGGATGACAGGGTTAAAAGAACATCTGTGTTTCAAACCCCACCACTCACCCCCATCCGCCCATTCCCTCATTAACTCCCACTCATCCCACAATCAACTCCCACCCATGCCACTCACCTCCTCGGCCTCCTCTCCCCCCTCTCCCTCCTCCCCTCCCCCTCGAGAAGCCGCCAGCACCATCAGCATCCTCGCCCGCGTCCAATCCAGCACTGCCACGTGGCCCTCTGCCGCCCACGCGCATGTGCGTCTTCTCCTTCCAGCGCTTGTAGATGCCCTTGCTACCCGCACTCGTCTTGGTGCCACTCTCCGTGCGCACCTGCCGGGCACATCAGGAAAATGGACTCATGGGGATCGTATGGACTTGAGCTTCTGTAAACAAGAACTCATAGAGACGAGAGCAGGGAGCCGGTCGATCCTGGTTTGAAGAGCGAGTAACACTCGCACCAGAATGAAGAAGAGTGCCCAGGGCAATGGAAAGCAGTTTGCAGTCAACCTTGCCACACCAACTCACCTTGCCCGACGGACCCAGGGTCTCTCCAGGGTTCAGCTTGACATACTTCTTGCTCTTCTGCTCACATGCCATGCCACGGTGGGAAGGGGTGGAGGGGAGTGGGAGGCGGTGGAGAGGGGAAGTGTTGAAGGTGATTGTGCCTTTCCTAAATGTAGTTCTCACTTTGCTACTCCAAAGCAAGGGGTAAGGATAGAATGTCGCGTGAGGGTAGGGATGGTGGGGAAAGGAGGGAGAAGGGTGGTAAGCCGGATGGTCAGAGAAGGTGTGAGGTGCATAATTGGTCAGTGGCCAGTGGTACATTGAAGCTTAGAAAAATGCACACTGCATATAAATAGAGGAACGTTGTACACTCTGCCTATCATGGAAAGGCATTTTTTTTCAATTATTATAAAATCTGGTGAGTTATCCGTACTTTACTCTAGAGAGAAAAAAAAAAACAAAACAAACAAACAAATTCCACCGACAGGACAAGCCACTAAGCAATATGAGATAAGCTGCACCATTCTTATTCTATGTACGCTATGTAAAATCTGCACAAAACACTGTACCTTATCCCAGTGGAACACTGATTTCCTCTTCTGCGCCCCTTCGCCATCATCAGGCGCCAGATCCAGCACCTCTGCCTCGAACCTGCAGGGGGGGGCGGAGTGTGGGGAGGTGGGGGAAGGGGGGAGAGGGGGGGGGAGGGGTTGAACGGAAAGAGAGGGGAGGCCTGCACTGTCATCAGGAGCCAGATCCAGCACCTCTGCCTCGAAGCTGCAGGGGAGAGGGGAGTGGGGAGGAAGAGGAAGAGAAGGACGCAGGAGGAGGAGAAATTGTGGTTGCTAACTATCAGGAGGAGGACGAAGAAAGAGGGGGGGAGGGGGGGAAAGGGAGCACTGAGTGAAAGGGATCATTGTTTTAAATAAAACACATGGCAGGTGCTTGAGAGGGTGGCAGGGACATGAGAGGGTGGCAGGGACGTGAGAGGGTGGCAGGGACATGAGAGGGTGGCAGGGACGTGAGAGGGTGGCAGGGACATGAGAGGGTGGCAGGGACGTGAGAGGGTGGCAGGGACATGAGAGGGTGGCAGGGACGTGAGAGGGTGGCAGGGACATGAGAGGGTGGCAGGGACGTGAGAGGGTGGCAGGGACGTGAGAGGGTGGCAGGGACGTGAGAGGGTGGCAGGGACGTGAGAGGGTGGCAGGGACATGAGAGGGTGGCAGGGACATGAGAGGGTGGCAGGGACGTGAGAGGGTGGCAGGGACATGAGAGGGTGGCAGGGACGTGAGAGGGTGGCAGGGACGTGAGAGGGTGGCAGGGACGTGAGAGGGTGGCAGGGACGTGAGAGGGTGGCAGGGACGTGAGAGGGTGGCAGGGACGTGAGAGGGTGGCAGGGACATGAGAGGGTGGCAGGGACATGAGAGGGTGGCAGGGACGTGAGAGGGTGGCAGGGACATGAGAGGGTGGCAGGGACATGAGAGGGTGGCAGGGACATGAGAGGGTGGCAGGGACGTGAGAGGGTGGCAGGGACATGAGAGGGTGGCAGGGACGTGAGAGGCAACGGCAGGCAGAGGTATGAGAGGGGACGGCAGGGGAATTGTAAGAAGTATGTCCACAGAACAGAACTTGCAAAGAGAAACCGCCGGCTCAAAACGTCTGCACTAAACGAGATGAGGTGAGGTGAGGTGAGGTGAGGTGAGGTGAGGTGAGGTGAGGTGAGGTGAGGTGAGGTGGGGCATACTTCTGCACTTCAGCTGAGAACTCGTTCTTGGGCCGCCCGTTGACTGAAAGGCCGCTCTCCCAATGCTGGACGGTGGGAATGCAGAATAAAAAAAAGGAGAGCATATGTAACATGCTTCACAAATTAGACAGATAGAAAGGAAGAAACGAAAGAAAGAAAGAAAAAAAAAAACAGGAAAGACCTTTGACTTAACCGGTCAATCATTCAATGTCTGTGCAATTTAGCATCTTACCCTGTTGGGTGGGATGCTGTTGATAAAGAACTGGTCGTCCTTGAAGGTCGTTGGCTTCTCCCTCTTCGCCCCCCTCCCCTGCCCGCCCCCCCCTCGCCCCTCCCCCTCCTTCCTCTTCCTTTTCCCCCCACCCGCCTCCCCCTCTCCATCACTATCACCACCCATCTCCGTCACCACTTCATCCTCCTCCCCTCCCTCTTCCCCTTCATCCTCTCCCTCATCTTCCTCCAAAACACCAGTAAATTCATCATCCTCCTCGTCATCCTCCTCCCCCTCCTCACCCTCCTCTCCCTCCTCTACCTCCTCTCCCTCCTCTCCCTCCCCCTCCTCCACCTCTTCCCCCACCTCATCCTCCTCTCCCTCCCCCTCCTCCACCTCTCCACCCTCCTCATCCTCCTCCTCCTCGTCCCCCAGCCCATGGCCCCACACCTCGCGCCCCTCCGCCACCAGCTTGTCTCGCCGCTTGCTGATGGCTGTCTGGTGCACCTCCCTCTTCGCCCGCATTACATCCAACCCCGCTGCTATGGGGCCCTGGGTGGGGTGAGGGAGGGATAAAAGGAGTGAAGGGCGATGGGGAGGGGCAGCCGCTTATTGAGTACCGTCTGGAGCGCCTCTCCCTTGGCCCTGGGCTGCCAAGTGACAACATGTCCATCCGTGCTGCCACTGGGCCCTGCAAGACCAACGCACCAGGGAAACAGGAGCAGCGACGGAAGGGACAGAGGGAAAGACATGTCTCTTTCCTCTCCACTCTCGTTTACATTCCACTCCCTCCTCTCCTCTTTACTCTCTCCTCTCATATCTCCTCTCCTGTCTCCGCTTCTCCCTCCTCTCCACTCTCCCTGCCCTCTCCTCCCCTCTCCTCCCCTCTCCTCTCCTCCCCATTCCTCCTCTCTACTCCCCTCTACTCTCCTCTCCTCCCCTCTCCTCTCCTCTCCTCCCCTCTCCTCTCCTCCCTTCTCTTCTCCTCCCCTCCCTTCTCCTCTCCTCCCCTCTCCTCCCCTCTCCTCTCCTCTCCTCTCCTCCCGTCTCCTCCCCTCTAGTCCCCTCTACATTCCTCTCCTCCCCTCTCTTCCCCTCTCCACTCCTCCCCTCTCCTCCCCTCTACTCCCCTCTACTCCCCTCTCCTCCCCTCTTCTCTCCTCCTCTCTCCTCCCCTCTCTTCCCCCCTCCTCTCCTCCCCTCTACTCCCTTCTCTCCTCTCTCCTCTCCTCCCCTCTCTTCCCCTCTCCTCTCCTCCCCTCTCCTCCCCTCTACTGCTCCCCTCTACTCCCCTCTCCTCTCCTCCCCTCTGCTCCCCTCTCCTATCCTCTCCTCCCCTCTCTTCCCCTCTCCTCTCCTCTCTCCTCTCCTAACCCCATCCACATCTCTTCCCACCGCAACGCACCACTTTCTTCTTCGCCGTGGCTGCTTCTGCCTCGAGCTCCAGGACTGTCTGCTTCGGCCTGCTTGCAAACGCATGCACACACACCCACACACCATGCACACACATGCAAACGCGCGTGCACACACACCCACACACCATGCACACACATGCAAACGCGCGTGCACACACACCCACACACCATGCACACACATGCAAACGCGCGTGCACACACACCCACACACCATGCACACACATGCAAACGCGCGTGCACACACACCCACACACCATGCACACACATGCAAACGCGCGTGCACACACACCCACACACCATGCACACACATGCAAACGCGCGTGCACACACACCCACACACCATGCACACACATGCAAACGCGCGTGCACACACACCCACACAACATGCACACACATGCAAACGCGCGTGCACACACACCCACACACCATGCACACACATGCAAACGCGCGTGCACACACACCCACACACCATGCACACACATGCAAACGCGCGTGCACACACACCCACACACCATGCACACACATGCAAACGCGCGTGCACACACACCCACACACCATGCACACACATGCAAACGCGCGTGCACACACACCCACACACCATGCACACACATGCAAACGCGCGTGCACACACACCCACACACCATGCACACACATGCAAACGCGCGTGCACACACACCCACACACCATGCACACACATGCAAACGCGCGTGCACACACACCCACACACCATGCACACACATGCAAACGCGCGTGCACACACACCCACACCATGCACACACATGCAAACGCGCGTGCACACACATTCACACATACCCCACCAACAGAGACACACACGTACGTACACACAAGCATCCAATCATTGTGAGTGAGGCAGGGCAAAAGGAAAAGCGAAGGGAAGCAATGGGGGGGGGGGGGGGAAGAGAGAAACAAAGAACGCGTGGAGTTGGGACGAGGGCAATTTAGGTGGGACCCATTTCACTCCCTATCCATTCCATTTGGCCCACCACGTGTTCACCCTACCACCCTCTCCGCGTTTTCCGTACTCCCCTTCCTCCTAACGCCCCCCAATGTCCCCCGCACCTAAGGTGCCCACTTTCCTCCCCCCACCGCTTCCCTCCCCCCACAACCTCCCTCCCCCGCCGCTCCCCACCGCCCCTCTCACCGGAACTTCTTCAGGTGCTCCGCAAAAGCAGCAGCAGCCGACTCAAGCCCGCCCAAGCGCTCCCTCAGCAGCAGGTGCACGCCCTCCCTCCCCGCCATCGCCTTGCTCCGCTTCGCACTCTCGTTCGACGCAGCCGGCCGTGTTCTCAGGTACAGCTTCATAGCCTTCCCTGCCACCTTCTGCAGCATACCCACAGCCACACTCGAGCTCTCCAGCTCCCTCAGCCTCTCCAAATAACGGTCCAGCTCGGTTTGAATGTATCTTCCGTAGACTGTTTCGCACCGCTCCTGCGCTTCCTTTGCGGCCAATAGGCTCGCGCCACCTGTCGCCTCGATCTCGGAATCTAGCGGCGCCGGGCGGATGGGTTTGGAGAGGAAAAGGTGCAGGTCGAGCACGAAGGGCAGCTCTTCTGCCGTGAAAAAAGAATATGCGGTGCCCGAACGGCCCGCGCGCGCTGCTCGGCCTGCCCGATGCACAAAAAGTTTCGGCTTGGGGGGGAAGTCGAAATTTATGACGTTGTCGAGGAGAGGGATGTCGATACCTCGGGCAGCAACGTCGGTCACGATGAGGAGAGATGTTCTGCCTGCCCGGAACTTGGCGATGTGGATTTTTCGGGCAGTTTGGTCCATGGCACCGTAAACTACCGACGATGGTAACCGCTCGGACTGTAACACTTCGTGTAACAGCTCAGCATGATGCTTTGTTGCCACGAATATAATTGTCTGCTTTCCATTGCCCCTCCCAGCAAACCCCCTCCTTCTCCCTTCCCTTTCTCTTGCTTCATCTTCCCTTTCTTCTCCTAATTCTTCCTCATCCTCCCCCTCTTCCCTTATTTCCCTTCCACCCCCACTTGCCGCTGACCCCACCTGAATAACCTCCTGAAGCAAATGCAGAAGGGCGGCCATTTTCTCATGCGGTCTGACCGTGAAAAAACAAAGCGCCAGATCAGGGCTCAGCTTCGTCTCTGTGTCCAATCGGATCAGCTGCGGCTCCCGCAAACCTGCCCGGGCGAACTCCGCAAGCATCTTGGGCAGCGTGGCCGAAAAAAGCAGCGTCTGCCGTGACTCGGGCATCCCGCGCAAAATTTCCTTCAGCTGGATGGCAAACCCCATCTCAAAAAGCCGGTCAGCCTCGTCAAAAACAACATACTCCACGGATTTCAGGCTCATACCCTCCACCTCAGCGAGATGGTGCATGAGCCTGCCAGGTGTCGCGACGAGAATGTCCGGGTTGCGCGAGAGCGCCTCGAACTGCCCCTCCATGCTGTCTCCCCCCACCAGCACGGCCGCTCGGAGGTCGGTGAATTTGCTCAGCTCCTTGGTGAACTTGAACGTCTGTAGCGCCAGCTCTCTGGATGGGTGGTTGGAAAAAGTTATGATAGAGCAGGGAGGGACAAGCAGGGATGAGAACGCGGCAAGAAATGCAGGTTGCCACAATCCCAGTGCCTCCAAATGATTTTCCCCCCATGAGTACAGCGGCTCGGAGGTCGGTGAATTTCCCCAGCTCCTTGGTGAACTTGAACGTCTGTAGCGCCAGCTCTCTGGATGGGTGGTTGGGGAAGGTGGAGAAACAACGGGGGGGACAAGCAGGGTTGCCACGCCATACTCTCAGCTCAGCGCCTCACGCTCGGAGGTCAGTGATTTTGCCAAGCTCCTTGATGACCTTGAACCGTCTGTAGGGCCAACTCTCTGGGTCAATGGGTGGGTGTGTGGGTGGTTGGGTGGGTGTGTGGGTGGGTGGGTGGGTGTGTGGGTGGTTGGGGCAAATGGATGCAAACAGGCGATGAGCAGGAAGAGAAAGCAGTCAACCATACTGCCACCTGGTATACCACCCGACCCAACTCCTCGGTCAACCTGAACGTCTGTAGGGCCAGCTCTCGGGGTGGTGCGTGGGTGGGTGGGTGGGTGGGGCACGTGAGGAGGCAGGGAGGGAGGGATGAGCGGGAAAGAATGAGCGCCGAAGGCAAGAAAAGAAGGCGTTCCTCTGCATTGTCTGCTCCTCAAATTGCCGTCTAGTCTCCTCCTACAGGCCCTGTCGTGCCGTCCGGGGACGTGTGAGTCTGTCGAGCACCCTGTTGACCGTGACCGCCTGCTCTCTGGGTGGGTGGTGGCGGAAATGGGGAAATCAGGGGGCGGAACCAGCAAGGCAAATTTAGCAGGGTAGGTAAGGAACGAGACTAGCCTTCTAGTTTCGTTGTTGGCCGATTTTGCTAAGCCAGAATATCGCTTTCACACGCGCACCTCAGAAAATTTTGGTGGCAGTTGAACCCTGAACCCTTCAACACTCCACCGTCAACCCCTGAACCCTAGCCTCTGTTACTCGCTAATCCATGGACCATTCAGCTCAGTACGAGCTGACAGCGGCGCAAAAAGCTCAACCCGGGACCCCTTGGTCTATACATCGCTAGAACCTCAACCCTTCATGCAGTGAGAGGGTTGAGGCAGCATGGTTAGCATCTCCACGTACTAGGAAGCGGCGATAATATATTCTCTTAACTCCCCATTAAACTCAATGCGCATCCGCGCATTGACCCCCCTCACGAAACGGTTCGAAAGACATCATAACGGTTCCACCAACGCCAATTCGCTCCCCACTCCCGCCCCCTCCTTCACCACCGTCGCACCTCGTAGGAGAGAGAATCACGGCGCGAATCCCGGCCGTGTTCGAGTGCGCTTTGAGCCGCTCGATCATGGGAATGAGAAACGCCGCCGTTTTGCCGGACCCGGTGCGCGCCATGGCAACCACGTCCTGCCCCGCCAGCACCATCGGCAGCGTTCGCCGCTGGATGGGCGTCGGCACCTGGTAGCCCTTGCGCCGCACGGCGCGGTACACGGCGGCGCTCAGGCCCATGCTTTCGAATCCGAACGATTTCGATTTCTTCTTCTTCGCGCCTTGCCCCGACACAGGAGCGAAGGCCATTCCGACGTCTTCTGACGGAAACATGCTTTCCGTTTCGCCCCCGTCCATCTGTTCTTAGCGCTCCAAGAAACAACCCCTCGACCTGGAAATGATAATGGAAAGCAAATGGCGCTGAAAAGTGGTTTCAACCTGGTCGAGGGAAGAGGTTTTACAGTTTGGGTTTTGCACCTGTTTCACAAGTGCAGGAGAGTGCTTGTTCCCTCTCCACCTTCACACTTTCCTTCGTTTATGCTAGTCCAATGTCTGACTTTGCGTGCAGAAAATAATAATTGTACTAAGGCGAAATGAAAGCCTTCTATACTATACGAATAAATACCATAGCAAGATTGATTGGCGTACCTAACCGTTAGTTTGTTAATCTAATCACTAAGCCTCTCAGCGAGTTGTAGCTGAAAGCATTATTCCTCTCAAACGAGTCACATACTAGCGAATCTGAGATTTCACAAACCCACTGCCTGCTATCATCCCTCCCTCGATTTCCCTCTTGTTCGTCCCGCTTCCAGTCCTAGCAGTCCCAGCAGCAGCAGTTTTAGGATTGAACGCCCGCCAGATGCGGAGAGACTCATCAGCCGAGAGGGAAGCTATGATGTCACCTTCAGGAGCCTGCCATGGAATGTAAACGAGGCACATTAGCGCATGTTAAGGGGGGCGCATGAGTGCTCAGCGATCGCTTACCTGCGCAGTTGACACCACACGGTCCTCATGCCCTTTAAGTCGGGCCAGCGGTACGAGAGACGGATACTTCCAAACGATCAGCTGGTTCGTGTTCGCTCCCAGATAGCCATGCGCGCTTACGATCTCACGATCCTTCTTGCTCCAGTGCAAGCCCGTGACCTGAAAACACAACGAAGGATTAGTGACTGAATTTATTCTCGAAAGTCAGAATAACAAACTGGCCAGAGATTGATCGCCAGTGTAACTTGCCATGTCAACCGTGCGATTGTTTACCTGAGACTCTGCGTCGACATGTTTCTCGCACGCGCCGGTCTGAGTGTTCCAGAACCGGATGGTGCAGTCCTTCGCACCGCCTCCCGTCGCCAGCAGGTGCGTTCGGAAAGGACACCACGCGAGAGCCTTAACCGCTCCGCGGTGATCCGCGAATCGATGAAGCAAAGGCACACGGGATCCCGTGGCACTAGTAGCAGCAGAGCTTGGGTTCGTCCTTCGACGACCTTCTCCATCGCGGCGGCCAGCAGCGTCTGGCGCGGTGGAAGACGACATGAGAGCTGTGTCCCAGATGTGCACGAGGTTGTCGTCTCCACCGCTGGCGAGCTGGCGTCCAGACGGAGCCCACTTCAGTCCGCATACCCCCTCAGGATGGGCCATGAGACGCGAGACGATGTGCTCCCGGGCGCGAACTGTTTAAGAAGGATAGGAAAAATGTTAAGCTGGAACGTACGCTTCAAAAGAGCTGCTATTCACAAAGGTGAGTATTTTCTATCCGGTTTGAGTGGACGTGCTGGTTGTGTGTTGCAGAGGAAGCCATGGCTTACCATCATGGTTGATGATTGTTCCAGCATTATCGCCGGTCGATAAGAGTGTCTTGTACCAGTCCAATGCACAAATAGGTCCCGAATGCCCCTTGAAGGTACGGACCTGCAGTTTATGGCCAAGCAGCAGTCAGTCAGGATTCTCAAGAACGTGTACCTCAACAGATTTACTGACTCGGGAGCATTTGCAGCAGATACTGGCCTGTTTAGGGTTGGAGACGTTCCAGACTTGGACTTCGGAATTGCTGACCCCTATCGCCAAGTGTACGCCATCAGGAGCCCAAGAGACTCCTGTCACATAGGGAGATTCCGGTAGTTCATCCTCCGTTTCAACAGTCATGAGCTCCATAGATTCATTCTTGCCATTCCAGATAAACACTGAGGTTCCGATCGCTACAGCAACCAAGTTGGAGATGCTCCAATCTATCAATTGGAGGTAGAAGTTGTTCACCACTCCAGGCGCGTCCAGCGTCTTCTCTGCCACCTGAGAAAAAAGAACAGTTTTAGAGTCAGTAATGTTTCACGCAGAATATATCTTCGTTCTACATGTCATCAGAATAGTCACCTGAGGTATTACGCGAGGAGGGGGCTGACATCCTGAGACGTCACTGCCGCTGGCGATTTTGGTGGAGCTGTCAACACCATGGTTTGACTCAGCAGGTGCATTCACTTTGAATGATAATACTCTTGGCTTCCTTGCCGAATTTCCTTCTCCGTCTTCCATACATCTCGACATCAGACCTTCAAGTCGCTTTCGATAATTCTCCTGGTTACGAGAACACACATTGAGAAGTTGTTAGTTCATAAAAGTCAAGCGTGTCATCAATCATAACAGAATCACTTACAGAGCCTGGGGAAATGAGCTTCGTAGACTCTCTCTTGTCGAAACCGCCACGAATTGCGAACGCTGAGACGTCCATATTCATGTAGCTGCGGCTTGGAATGAAACGGTCGCCCTGCAGCCAAACATTGGATTCAATCAGTATGGAACTTTGGGAGCGATACAAGAAACGTGACTCCAAACTCATACCTCTGTCGACTTCGGGGTCGCGAATGGTGTTTTGGGCGTTATCCCAACCTTCTTATATGCTTTCTTCACCGAAGGTACTGGCGTTGCTGTAGGTTTTGCCTTGAGGTGGCTGCATCCCGCCTTGACCAAGGATTCCGGCGCTTTCTGACCATATTTGCTCCTGGTTCCCGATCTGCATAACGAAGCTGGACCTCCTGTCTTTCCGGGGGTCTTCAACTTGCTCTTCAATAGAAATGGACTCCTTGTTGGCGTATCCATAATCGTGTTCATCGCTATGACTAAGTCCATTTCAGTACGGCAGAGAAGCTAACCGAGGGCACGTGAGCGTTGCTTGTACAAGCAAGCTTCTTGACAGCCTGTGAGATTTTGCTGTCCACTGATACTACCAACTTGAAACGACGTTCGAGTGTGACTGATGCTTGTAGAGAGCAGTTTCATCGTTGGAGTCAACCGAGCAGCTTCAGCATCCTCAGCCAGGCTAAGCAGCCGCTCACTGGTTCTCTGGGGTTGCATGGTGTCCAGGCACTGACAATGGCGGCGGAAAGGTATCCTCCCGCCTTCGCCAGGAGTTGCTCTGGAAATGCCTTCCTGAAGTAAGCGCCGCGGACTTCATGTGGTCATGGTGTACGCATTCTTAGGTGCTTCAATTGCAATATAATAGGCATTTCGAAACAATAATAGGAATTGTAGAATCATCCCTGATTTCCCAGCCAGTGTCAAAACTTTCAAACACAGTGCCATCCATCATCCAACGATTGGGGCTTCGAGTATCCGTGACAACAATCTGCCCGGCTTGGTCTGGGCAGATAAACCAAACCAACAAAGTTACGGCAAGTGACGGCCGGTGTCAGAATTTGCCCCTCCGCTTCGCAATCGACCAGCCGTGCTGAGGTAAGCAGCAACTCAAATCGCTTGGTATATCCTGACAAGCGCCGCATACACCCATTCGAGCAAGGGTGAGCCTCCATACAAGTGTACTTCAAGTAAACGAAACATTGACTGTACCGTACGACCGGACACGCCCTGAGTTCCAGAAAGATGCCTCGGTGTTCTCCTTGCTGCGCCAACAACCAATCACACGCAGCAGCCTCCCGCCTCCACCCCTGTGCATCAATCTCCCAAGCCCAAGGGGAAAACCACCTCCTTCCACATCCTTCAGGAACCTGTCCTGGCCCGAATCCTGATCCTGGAATTCATCTCGTGTGAGAGTCGCATGTCCATCAGAGCTTCAATTTTACCCAACTGGTGCTTGGGAGGAGCATTCAGCAGCTCCTAATTTTGCATGCTCTGTGACCTTCACAACAGAATCACGCGATTGACGGCATTGCGTCGGACGTTAGGAGAAGAAGCCTCTACGTAACCTACGATTGTTGATTGTTGTATTCTCATATCGTTTCTATCACTCTGAATCCATGGCGGAGGAGAAGGCTGGAAGCGGGTTCTATGCAGACATTGTCGACGGAGACGTGTATAAGTACTTCGCGCATGGCGAATGGAAAACGTCACCTTCAGGCAAAACAGTCAACATCATAAATCCCTGTACCCGTACTGTAGTATACAGAGTTCAAGGTGAGCTGCTACTGATGCAACGGATCGCGCCACTAAGTTCACTGATCGATTTCAGACCAGCAATGCCGTTTCGCATCGTCTCGGTGGATAGTTATTATCTACGCGTTAAGTTCCTAACACCACCAGTCCCACCCTCGTTTTTTTTCACGCAGCGTGCATGGAAGAAGAGGTGGACGGCGTGTTCGAGAGCGCCAAGGTGGCGCAGAAGAAATGGGCCAAGACGCCGCTGTGGAAGCGCGCCGAGCTGCTGCACAAGGCCGCTCACATCCTTCGCGAACACAAGGAACCCATCGCCGACTGCCTCGTTAAGGAAGTCGCCAAGGCTAGAAAGGATTCCATTACCGAGGTAAGGCTTAGACCCCTCAACCGAGATGACGCATGGATACACGCCGTTACGGGGTGAAGGCTCACCGAGTAAGGTCCCCGCACCGAGTAAGACTGAGCAACACTCCAACTTCATCCCCAATCCGATGATCCGTTTATATACACTCCCATTTTGTGAGTTGGAAACTCACATTACTGGCGAGAGCACTAAGCTCATCGCCGTCTACTATATGAAAGAGTTCGCCACGGCGAGAAGGGACCCCCATTACGCAAGACAATGCAAGGATTCGCGGACTTTGTTATCTAGGTGACAGCTCACATGGTTCGTGAACGCAAGGATTTCCTCTGCCTCGACGTGTCTATCATACCAGAACACGTTAGACATGTTCCCTATTCACCCCCACTCTACCGCTAGCATCTGTTGTTTTGACTCACGGGCTAGAGCTTGCGAGCTATTGCGTGAGGCAAGCACCAATGGCGTGGAAAACCCTTCTCTAATCAACGTCACTCAAATTGCC